TCCTTTCTCCCTATTCCCTTTCCTCCCCTCCCCTTCTTCCCTTCTTTTCTCCCTCCCTCCCTCCTCTCTGGTCCTCCCCGACTTCCTTCCCTTCCCTTCTTTTCTTCCTCCCTCCTCTCCTCCTGACTTCCTTCCCTTCCCTTCTTTCCTTCTTTCCTTTCTCTCTAGTTCTTTTCTATTCCCTTTCCCTTCCCTTCCCTTCTTTCCTTTCCTTTATTTCCTTTCCTTTCTCTCTATTCCCTTCCCTTCCCACACTTCTGCAGATTTTAACAGGAACCTTGGCAGGCCACAAAGACAAACCAAGAATATACAGTCTCTTTCTGGCTGGTTCCACTAACCCTGATTTTAAGCAGTCACGACACAGGGCAACATCTGAATATCCCAACGCTCCCTGGCTCGGAATCCATTCCTGATCTGGCAGGATTCCTGGGCACCCCCCGAGTCGTTGACGCCTCCCAGCCACCCCAAATGTGGCCGCATGCTTTGGGGGCTTTGTCTGTTGTCTGAAGACCGTCCATGGCCGTCTATAAGCGTCTCCCACCCACACCACGAATCCAATGGTGGGTTGGCCCCCTTCGCTCAATGAAAACCCCCATTCTTTGGGCTTTTATTTTCTCTTTGCTCCAGACTTTCCCTCCCTGAAAAGGGCTGAAAATAGCTGTGGGGGCTTGGAAAGGAGGAGGAATTAGGGTTCAAAAGAGGGGCTTATTATTATTTTTTGCATCCCCCTCGCCCCCGGGGCTCCTGCCTTTCATCGTTTGCCTTCTTTTCTTCCTCTTCTTCTTCTTCTCCTTTTTTTTTCATATCTGGCCAGCGAAGCCATCAAACATCGCCTTTTCTTTTTGGGTGCTGGGTTGCATTGGCTGCAAAGGAGAGGACTCCGCTTTCCCACCAGGGAGACGGCCGCGGAAGAAAAACGGGGGCTCGGCGGTGCATGCGAGACCCCCCCCTTCCTCTCCCCGCCATTCAGCCTCATCCAGGGGTCCTTGTTCATTGTCTTCTCCCGTCCCACACACACCCCCAGTCCCCCCACCCTTTCTGAATGTCTGGCTTGTCCCCAACTTGCGACGTCCTTTGTCCTCTTTTTCTATGGAGAGGGGGGGGGGACGAATCCCAATGGCTCAGCCGGGGAGGGTTTTGCTCCGAAGCGTGGGAAACCGCCGGGCCAAGGTTACCAAAAAAAGACTGTTTGGGCAGTTGGCAGGCAGAGGAGTTGGGCTTTTTATCGGCCTGCCTCCGCAAAAAGAGACAGGAAGCCAAAGAACAACGGTGTGATAGGCACGGTTGTTTTGGATCTGCGTGTTCCACTCCCACCCCTAACCTCGCTAGGAAGCGCAGGAGGG